AGGAGGAGGAGAGGAGGGAGGAGAGGAGGGGGGAGAGAGAGGGGGGGAGGAAGAGAAAAAAGGGTTGCATGAATGAGTGGTGGATATGGCGGCCGTTGGGGACTCTCCGAAGTCAGCTCTGACGGCGGTGGGACAGGAGGTGGGCGCTATGAGGTTTGAGGAGCCAGATTACGCCAGCTCTAATTGGTATTTTTCGAGAGAGGAGATAGAGAGGAACTCCCCTTCGCGCAGAGACGGCATAGATTCGAAGAAGGAGTCGTATTTCAGACGCTCTTATTGCACGTTTTGTCAAGACGTAGGAATGAAACTCAAAGTGTAAGTAAGCAAGGCATTTCATTATATGTATATGTATTCCTCCCTTCCCCCCCCTCTCTGCCTTCTCTCCCTCCGTCTCTTTTCCTTTACCCTTTCCCCGCTCCCTTACCCTTTTCTCCTTTACCCTTTTCTCCTTTACCCTTTTCTCGCTCCCCCTTACCCTGTTCTGTCTCTTATCCCTTTTCTCCCTCCCTTAACCTTTTTCTCCCTAGCTCCCCCTCTCCCCCGTTTTGTTTTTACCCCTCCTTTTTCTTTACTCCCTTTCTTTACCTCCCTCTCTTCTCTCATCCCCACTGTTGGTATACTCTCTCTTCTCGTCCTCAGTTTTTCATCGTCTTTCCTGCTTTCTCCCCTCTTTGGTGACCTTCCTCTCCTCCTCTGTCGCTGCCAACAGTTTCGCTCAAATTACGTACGAGCAATCCCATCCCCTCACGGTCTCCACTCCTCCCCTTTTCTCCTCCTCCTCCCCCTCCTCCTCCTCCCTATTCCTGCGTCTTCTGCGACTCTGTTGGCGAGCGCTGAGCAGTCTCGATTATCTGACGCCATACATATGGCTCAAGGCGAGGAAGTCGATTCGTTCCGCCGCTCTTTCTCCTCCTCGTCACTTCCTCCTCCTCTTCTCCTCTCCTCGTTGTTATCCCTCTCTCCTACTACCGTAGTCCCTCTTCCTCTTTCTCATCGTCTCATTGTCTCCTACTCCCGCTTCTCCTTTCTCCGTCCGCCACTGATTACTATCAGTGATTACCATCATTGAACAGCAAGTATCTCGTTCTCTTTTCATCCTCCTGCTTGTTATGCTACTCTCCTATACCGTTTGCACCCGAATAGAATGCCCGGTCATTATCGCCGCATCTGGACCGAAAGTTGTGCCCAATACGGTACGGCTTTAATGACCGGGCGTTGCATCGGGTGAAGACGGGTAGTCCTACTTGCTCTCTCTCTCTCTCTCATCGTCTCCTCCTCCCGCTTCTCCTTTCTCCCTCTCCGCCACTGATTACCGTCAGTGAACATCAACTATCTCTTTCACCTGCTTGCCCCAATCCTCATCTGTTTCTCTCCCTCTCCCTCCCCCTCTTCTTCCCCTTCTGGTCCTTTTCCGCCACTTCCTCCTCCTCCTCCTCCTCCTCCTTCTCTTCCTCTAGCCTTCCTCTTTATATCCATCGCCTAGTCCTGGCGCCGCTTTAGCTGGCTCGCCTTCCTCTTTATATCCATCGCCTAGTCCTGGCGCCGCTTTAGCTGTCTCGCTTCAAATGCACATGCAGGTCTTTCGTTCCTTATTCTCCCTTCGACGTTCCTCTTCCTCCTCCTCCTCCTCCTCCTCCTACTCTATTCCATGTTCTCTGCTCTCCCATTCTTAACGACCGACTTACGCTGTGCAGTCGAGAGCCAAGCGGTTACAATCCTTCCCTGTATTCTTCCATCTCCTCCTCCCCCTCCTTCCCCTCCTCCCTTCCTCCATCCCCACCCCCTCTTCCCTCCTTCCCCTTCCCATCTTCCTTCTTTCCGTCTTCCTCTCTCGCTCTCTCCCCTCTCTTCTCTAGTTTCCTTCGTCGCTGCCACCACGCCTTTTGTCGTTCAGTGTTATGCTGAATAACTGTCGCCCGCAAAATAGGATAAAAAGGTATTCACTCGTTTACACGTTTTGGACAGTGATCTGACCTTGTTTGCGGTCAGATGCGTCCCAGCAATGCCTAGTGGGAGTATAACTTACCTTATAATTCAATCCCTCTTTTTTCACTCCCCTTTTCCCACTCGTCGTCGTCTTCCCTCCGCCTCTTTTCTGTTTCTTGTTCATTCCCTCTCTCTTCCTCTTTAGTGTCCCTTGATACCGTCTCCATAGCCTCATAGCCTCGTCCTACCTTGACCTACGCCATAGCCGCCGTTTACTACCACATTGTCGCCACTGGGAATCACTTAAGCATGTCGGGCATTGCGCGCCAAGAACAAAGATTGCAATTCATTGCCTAGATAGCCGTTTTATATCTTGATTGACTATTGAATTGGTTATGCCAGAAACGATAATGATTGAGTGATTATGATTGAGACGACTGTTTGATTGATTGATTGGTTGATTGGTCGATTGGTCGACTGATTGGTTGATTGGTCGATTGGTCGACTGATTGGTCGATTGGTCGACTGATTGGTTTAGTGGTTAATTAACCGAGTGGTTGATTGATTGGTTGATGGGTCGATTGGTTGATTGAGTGATTGGTTGATTGGTCGATCGGCACTCAACTGAACGGATCTCGTTTAGGCCGTGTATTTTGGAGAAAAAATATTTAATTGTGTCTAATAAGAATTATATGAACGAAGATGTAATAATGTCCATCATCATCATAGAATTAATGTCCCTATACCAATGATGATGATAGGCCGCTTGATGATATCGTTAGCCATGACATCTACAGAGTTGAACCAGTAGAAAGTAAGACATTTTTTTTTTTTTTTTTTCCCTCGTGGTAAAGTAACAAATTACTGTTATACGCGGCATCAGTATTTGGTCATGCGCGCACTTGGACTTTTTAAGTAATTTATACACGTATTTGTGGTCAGATGCACGCAGGTCAGGCCGTAAATTCGGCCAGGTGCATTTTAGATGGTGCTGATGTGAGTATGCCCTCAGATGAACACGTGGCATAGTAATAGTTGCGCTCTGTCCGTGAGTCAAATCGAGGGGGGGGATTAAATTGGCAGCGAAGCCCTGAAATGTAAGGGGGGGCGTCATCTGTATTGTTAGCGCCTTTCTTTCCGTTATTGATGGATTGATTGGTTACTTGATTGGTTGATTACTATTATTATTATGTTTGATTGAGTGATTGATTGGTGTATTATAATGCCCCGCGGGGTTTCTTCAGCAAGCAATATATGTTGGTTTTTCTACTGGTTCGTGTCTGTTTACTAGTTAGTGGTGATTTCTTTCGCTATTTTACGGTTATTAAATTAAAAAATCGATTATTATAGTTATTATTTTGAATAAGATTTTTTTGTAAGATGTTTCTTTTCATGTTAATTTTAGCTGTATAAGCCTTTTGGCTGCGTGCAAGTGGGTCCTTGTGACACACGGGGATGGGGGCAGCCAGCGCTCAACTTGTCATCCACGTGGCTGGCCTTGTACGTAAGAGGTGATGAACAGGTGGAGCTTTCCTTACCTCTTCCCCCTCCCCCTTTTTTCCTTTTCCTTTTTTCTTTCCCCTTTTTTGCGCTCTGATTCACAATGTGACAATATATACATATGTATATAAATATGTCCTCTTCTCCCTCTCTCCTGACGGTTTACCGGGCAGTTCTATTTGACGATATATAGTGTCGTCATATATGTATATATGTAAGACTCCAGCGAAACAGTCTGTCACAGCCCCTCCTCCGTTGCTTTCGTCTCCTTGTCTGCTTAGGCATCTATATATATACACACGGGGGTGGGGGCAGCCGCCGCTCAACCTACATCCACGTGGGCGGCCTTGTACGCAAGAGGTTCTGAACAGGGGGAGTTGTAAGGAAGAAGCTTAAAAATTAAAAATGAATTAAGTTTTTCTTGTTTCTGTTTTTCGCTTTGGCGCTCTGATATCATGTGACAATATATAACAGAGCTGCCGGGTAAACCGTAGGCAGAGAGGGAGAAGAGGACAAAAAACGAGGGGCTGGTTGACTATGGCGGTGCTTGCATGTGGGACTTGTCATCTAGGATCTGTTTATGTTTGTTTCCCCCTGTTTTGTTATATATGGCTGTTCCCTTCCCCTCATCTTTGCCTGTTTGCCTTCCGGCTGTGTGCAAGTGGGTCGATATGACACACGGGGTTGGGGGCAGCCGCCGCTCAACGTACATTCACGTGGGCGGCCTTGTACGCAAGAGGTTCTGAACAGGGGGAGTTGTAAGTAAGAAGATAAAAAATGAATTGATTTTTTTTTTTTTTCGCTTTTGCGCTCTGATACCTTTGTGACGATATATATCGGCAAACAACCCCTCGTTTGTTGTTCTCTTCTCCCACTCTGCCTACGGTTTACCGGGCAGGTGTGTTTGACTATATATATATATATCGTCACAAAGATATCAGAGCGCAAAAGCGAAAAGAGCAAAAGGAAACAAGTAAGATATCAATTCATTTTCTATCTTCTTATTTACAACTGCCCCTGTTCAAAAAGAACCTCTTGCGTACAAGGCCGCCCACGTAGGTCTAGGTTGAGCGGCGGCTGCCCCCACCCCGGTGTGTCATATCGACCCACTCGCACACAGCCAAAAGGCAAAGAGGTAAAGAAAGAGGAAGGGAACAGCCAAACATAACAAAACAGGGGGAAACAAACATAACAGGGCCTAGATGACAAGTCCCACATGCAAGCACCGCCCCCTACGTCACAGGCCAAACGACGGGACAATGACCAACCAGGATATCAATCAACACCCTTGCCTGCAAAAAAACAATCCCAGATAACAAACCATTCGTGCTCGCCAGCATAGACACCCTATCATGTTTTTTTTTTTTTTTTTTTTTTTTTTTCCTTATCGTGGTTTCGACGCATGCTTCGCTGGACTAAACTGAAATACTGGGACCACCACTAAGGGCAAAAAATATATAAAGACGATCCCAGATGACGATTCCCACCTAAAAGCACCGCCTCCCGTCGATAGGCCAAACAACGGGAACCAGCCAACTAGGATGCCAAAACGATAAAAAAAAAGAACCCGGATGACAAGTCCCACATGAAAACACGGCCACGTGGACCGAACAACCCACATGAAAACACCGCCACGTGGACCGAACAACCCACATGAAAACACCGACACGTGGACCGAACAAGCCACATGAAAACACGGTTACGTGGACCGAACAACGAGACAAAACCAACCGGGATGCAGACAAAGGTGCCAGAAATACCAACAATTCTGCCATAACCATACTTGAAAAAACGCAACCATAGAGTAGTTCCGTAAAGCGAAATACCCCAACAATGGGGAAGAGCAAAGCAAAAAGAAGAGGTAGAAGAAGGATAGAAAGGAGAATCAG